CATTTTTGTGTGCGTGTGTCACTTTTTTATATTTTTCTCTTTTAAATTCTGATCATCTGTGTATCTTAGCACAACCCCAGATCAAGGGTAGGTATGAAATTCACAGACTCTGGGGTCTTGAGTCCTAACTGTGACTGGGTCAGGTTTTCCCTTTCTAAAAAACATAAAATAAAAAATTGAAGATATTGAAGCCTTGGCTTTACAGCAAATTACATGCTTCCTCATTTTTCTTATCCCCTGGTAACTCCTATGGCAGTAATTAGCCACCTTTCTTGCTCTCCTACAGGGATTAACAACTTTACCACCTCCCACCTTGAAATATCTTCCTCTGCTCAGCAGGTACTAACTATCATATTCACTCAATTTGACTACCCAGATAATGTATTAAACTCTGAACAACTGTTTCTAACCCGTAATTTGCTGAATGCTGATGACTCTCAAAAAGACCTTCTTTGCTCAAAACTATGTCTCTTTTTTTTTTTCTGCATGTGAACTAATCTCATTTAAAAAAATGGTCTCTCTCCCTGAAAGACTTGCTTCCCTCATGGTCATCATAACTATCAAAATTGTAGCACAAAACTTTTACAGCAAGAAGTTTATTATTGCAGTTACATGCTGGATTAAATATTTACAGACTGAAAGTCTTTAGAATTGTAAACAATGCCAAGAGAACTCAAACGAAAAACTACATTTAAACTTCCAAAACCTTGACTGATGTGACACAATTTCTTTCAAAAGAAGCCTGCTATACCATTCAACAACAATAAAATGGGACCTTAAAATTAATTCTGTATAAACTTTTTTACTATTTCACACTGCAGTTAGGATGAGAAGACTCATCTGAAGATCCAGAGAGCAGATAGGAAGACAGAAGATAACATGAAATTCTATTTTTTACAGGAACCAAATAATTCTGGAATTTGAGTTCACATGTCTTATCTAAAGAACAGCAAATTCAGTTTGCATGTGACTCACTCTTTCATTAAATAATTGCATAGAAGTTTTAAATTAATCCAATTTAGACCTATAGGAAGTTGCCACTAAATAGTTCCAACATTTTATATTGATGATTCTTATAATCTGCAGTGCAAACAATGAAAGATATATCTAACTTCTGGTTCTCTAAATCCTAGTAGGGGCCTTCACAAACTACCAGCCTGATATTCACAGAATCAACACTTGCAATAGCACTTTGGTAGAATGAGATGTGCGTAGAGAGGTAAACTCTTCTCAAGATGAAGGTATCTCAAATCAGCCAAATAAAATAGCATGTTTGGATTCTCTATAAAGAGAATGAATTATTAGTTTACATTCTCCTGTCACTAGATATCTTTCCTTGCGCTTTGATGCTGGCAATTGGTTATTTCCCTGAGGCACTACAGTGATGCATTTGTATGTCACCACATCCCTTACTGTGCTGAACTGTCACTCCCAGACTCAACATGGCAGGCCAACGTAGAAATTCAAGCGTATCTGAGAGCTGACAAACTCTACTTTACAAATACCCTGCATTCCTCTCAAGTCACTGCAAGGTTTGCATTCCAAAATGGAGATATAACCACAATTCTTATTAGTCGAAGTTAATAGAAGGGAAAGCGGGATAGGGTTTTCACCAGTTTGAGTGAGTAAGGTGGAGCATTAAGAAGACCAAACACAGCATTTTTTTGTAACTTCTTCATTTTTCTTCTGCTAGACAGCTGCTTCTTTTGGCATCACAAATTCATGACATGTAAAAACACTTAAGACCTTGGCCACAGATCACATTAGAGAAGTTTGTAAAGGTGCACCTGCATCTAGCAGTAAGTAAACACTGGTGGCCAGGATATTTTAGCTATTTTCAGGATGCTATAGCTATTTTTATCTTCATTACTCCCTCAGTGAGATGTATTTAGCAGTTCTCAATGGATTTTTCTTCCTATTTTGTCCATCTCTTTCTGCATCTACATACAACCTTAACAAGTAAAAAGACCTTCCACAAGGACTTCACCATCACAGATATCTACAGGTCAAATATCCTTCTCTGAAGGACAATTCCCCTTATGCTTCTTGTAAATGAGGCTCCTACTAGCATATTTCCCTGTCCCTAACAACTTGCCCAAGAAACGCAACTGCTGTGCAATTTCTCATAATGGGCAGTCTGCACTTCTTTTGTGCTAAGACAGCTAGCAAATACGGCTGATCTTTAGATTACTATTTTAAGGCATTTTCTGAGGTTTCCCAATGGTCCAGCCCTATGACCATGAGAGCAGTAATTATAGAAATTTAACTTCTCATAACCTCTTGCAATTAAAACCAGTAATCGCTTTGGAGAGCAAATAAAAGATTCCCTGTCATTTCTCCACACTCAACAATCTAGGGCAAAAAAAAAAACCTCAAATCACAAAACCCAGCAGAACAGAATAGCCTGTCCAAATAGAGCTGCCACATGGAAAGGTTAAGTATCAGGCAATATAAAAATGGAATTCTGAAGGCAAGTTTCAGTTCAAAGAGACACACTGCCTCGTTATCCAGAGATGTCTTCTCCAGGGGATTTATTGCAAGTCTGACAACTGCAAATGAGTTAACAGAAAAGAACAGGCGGAATGATAATCACAGCTACCACCCAAGAGTATGATACATAGTACAGTTCTCTGTTATTGACAACCTGTAGTTTCTTACTCTGACTTAAAATGCAGCTTGTTTGGGACCATTATTTATATGGATGAGGAACTGCATAAGAGGAAATCTATACCTTTAAAGCTGATGTATCATTCTTCTGCTTGTGTGAAAGATGTCAACAGTAAAAAAACAAAGTTAATGGGTGTAAAAACCCGTAAGTTTGACTGACTGTATCAACATTCACAAAGGCACAAATAATGAAGCAGAGACTGAGTGTTAAAGTCTGCCTCCCTTCTGGAGGAAAAAAAAAAAAGGCTTTCTAATCCCAAATTGGCCAGTTTGTCCTCAAATATCTTTTGTTAGGAGACAAAGGTATTTTGGGGACTAACAACACAGAACCATTGCTGGTGATCTCCTGTTTGTGGAGAGGGAACACAAGTGCACAACATTCTTGGAAGAAGTGGTTCCAAGTCCCTGCCATATTTAATTATTCTTCTGTGCTGTTCCTCTCACACATTTCCACTCCAGACAACCTTAGCAACAAAGGTGCGAAGCAGAGAAGCTCTTAGCTCCCTGGGGATATAGATTCTCAATGAACTTTGAGTAAAAGCATTTAGTGCAGAAGTCTGGCAGACAAAAGACTACATTTAGTAAGAACAAGTTATTTTAATTTGAGCAAGTAAATTGCTAAGGAGTGGAGAAGAGCAGGAAGATGGGAGAGGGAGATCAGCCTGTGAAAGCTGGAAGTACCCAAGAGTTGTTGGAGGAGATAAACAGCTGTGATGGAAAGGACGCTGGAAAACAACAGATTTACAGGGTCTGTTTCCTATAAAGGTATCTTCATGTGAGATTCTGAAGCTTTGTGAGTGTGGCAACCTTTCCATGCACTTTGCATAAACAAGTGTCACAGACACAGTACATAGCAGTTCGTAAATCTTCCAAAATGCAGTACAACAGCCAGCCTTTGAAAACTATTGCATTAAAACCATCAGTTCTGTGAGGCAGACTGAACAATGGGGGCACATCCCTGCTACCTTAAATTGACAAAAGGAGAAAGATTTCTAAACATTCAATCTAGCATTGGCTGAATCTAGTATTGTGATAACAGTTTCATTGCTTGTGGCCACGTTAACCTACACAATATCCTTCAGAGAAAAAGTGCATTACGAAGTTTTTCTTCTCCCCTTTAAGAAGGCCTTCCCGTTACCCAGCTGGCGAAACAACCATTTGGTGACCTAAGAAGCAGACCAGGGCACTTTACTCCTGTTAGAAAGTAAGCTGAGGGGGAGAGCAATGTAATGCAGTTTGTAAGATTTGTGCCTTAGAGTTCTGACTCAGAACAATCAAACTTGAGGTTATTAAAGCAAATTCTCCAGTCCAAGGCTAGGTGAGCATCCCTGAGGCAGTTCTGACTGCCAGCAACACAATGTGGGACTTCTCACCTTCCCATTTCCCTGTATATTCAGCCTCACCCTAGGCAAGGAAAGTGAGAAAAGGAAGGACTGGTTAGCTTGGTTGCTTCTTCAGTCTGTTCACACACATTACTACAAACTAGAGAAGTTTTTTTACTAGAGAAGTAAACTTTCACCTCCACATTCTCCACAGTATTAGCCAAAAGGCATGTATCAAAGCATGGTGCAGGAGTGAAGCACAAGGCAAACAAAGCACTGAATTATTTACAATTTATCAAGGCTGCAGGGGAGTATACTGTTCCCTCTTCTTATGAAATAAAATGTTCTTTATTTTGCTCATGATATGTTTAAATATATCTGTAATTTTAGGACATCATTGTGATTTGAATTTATATTTATGTTTTATGTTAGCAGGCTGGATAAGACCATAGCTCCTTTTGCTTTACCTCCACCAGCGCACATTTAGAGACACTAGTACTAAGTCAATAGTTCTCAGAACTACCAATACACTGAATATAAGGAGCAGCACAATGGAAAATATTTCCAAAACTGAAAGAAACATTTATTCTTCTCTATAATACCAACTCAAATAGCAGAATAAAATTTTGCTACTACTGTACCACACAACAGTGATGGACACTTGTTCAGAAAATAAGATTTTTATTTGAGTTGATCAGAAAAAAACAAGTGTCTATGGATTCCATCAAGCTACCAAAAAGACACATTTTAACCTTGGGAAAAGAATTTAAAAGTTTCTCCAAACAAATTCTAATGCACCTGGAAAGTCAGAATAATGTATTGATTTCCACATGTGTCTTTCAGTAACTCCCACCACAGCAGTCAGTGCTGGCTGGTGTTAGCCTCAGCAATATCATTTTAACAAGCTAATTATGCCCATAGCTAACTAAATCTGAACTCCACTCATTCAGTGCACCCAGCAGCACCAACATCATGGGAGTAAAAAAGCAAGCATACATTATTGTCTCTTACCACAGTATAGATCTGAGGTTTGCGCCTTTTTGCTAGGTCAATAATATTGACTCCATTGTAATAAAGGTTCTCAATGCATCCATGGAAATTTTTCCTCTGAAAGGTTCCTGGTTTTCCTGGGACAGGAATCCCTCCGAAACTGAGCTTTTGGAAGGAATAAGAACAGTATTTAGTTATCACCCTAAATGCAAGAGGGCAGAGCCCCACTCCATGCAGCCAGCTGTCCAAAGACAGGTCACATTAACAGCATCATCTTGGAGCACAAAGCAGGGCTTGGCTGCCCAACAGGGGAATTACAGGCCACACAGCATTACAGCTATTGGAGAAATGCTGCTGCCACAGACAGCTCACTAATTTGGAAACAACTTTAAAGAGCCTTGACACACCACTTCACCAACCTAGTACCACCAGCCTTCCCTTCCCCAAATTACAGGGTTATGTTCAAATGGTTTCCAGTCCATAGCCCCCACAGGCCTGGAAGTTGTCACACACCAAGCAGACCACAGTGATCAGGAACTGCTGAGCAATGGGGGAATAAACTCTTCCCGCCCACAGAGCACTGGATTTGCCTTGAGCTGGAGTCACCCCTTTCCACAAAGCATGCATCTGGACAGTTCTGGTTTCAGTGACTTGAGGGTAGTTATCACACACACAAACTACCCCATTTGCACCTTGCAATGGTTTTCCCTAAATTTCCCTGTGGTTTGGTCTTTCCAATATATGCACATGGACTGAGCAGTGTAATGGAAAAGTTACGCAGGTTACACATTTAAAAAAAAATGCTGTGCTGTTGTACGAGTACTGAAAGATGTTAGTATTGTGCAGATTACAGCCTGTTACTGAATGGAGGCCCTGGAAGAATAAAAACTGTAAGAAAAAAATCCCTCCCCAAATCATTGGAGCATAATTATTTTAGATGACAGATTTCTCATAAGCTCCATTGGCCTTTTTGGCAAAGTCTTACTTGTGGTACCTTAAGTTTTTATTCATTTTGCCATCGCAGCCATCAGCATAGTGAGTGATACAGTATAAGTTGAGATCCTGCAGCCACCACACTTCACAGTGCTTCCAGCACATCAGAAGCTGTGCTGCAATCCTGCAGCATCCACTGCAGCAAGGGCAAGTGCTGCTGTGTGGCACCGGTTACGCAGTGATTATTGCGGGAACCTGGTCAGCCTTATTCCTCTGTCATGACTCCTAACGGCTCACCTCAGCTCATTATTACAAAAATAAAGAGCAATTCATAATTTTTTAACTTCCACTCCAACTAACATGCTGGGATACATAACCAAATGAAACCTTCCTGAATAACCTTGAAAGCACTTCTTTGAAAAGAAGTCCTTAATGAACTTGCATCTCAGTTGTACTAATTGATCACTTCGGAGAAATAAAGAGTAAACAGACTCCTACTTTACATTACTTTCAGTTTTCTTATTGGCAATGATTTTCTTCAAGAAAGAATCATTAGTTCTTCCTTAACACACTGGACTTTCCTTCTTCCGTGTTCTATTCTTTCAGTCTCCTGCTGTACTGGGTTTCAAAACCAAAAGAAAAATCTATCAATTATGCCACTGCATTATTAAGAAAACAGTTTCCTTTGTGATTAGTAATAATTTTAATTATCAAACTAATAGTTTTATTACTCATCAAGGCCTTTAATCCCTAAAGTGTGCCAAGATAAACTTTCAGTAGACTGTACTGCTGTAACGTTCAATTGAAAGATTGCCTCAGTGTAAACGGAAAGAAAACACATTGTGTGAAAAATTAAGCACTAGGGCCAAGATTGAGTGACATGGAGGTGAGCAGTATTACTGATTTATACCAGCTGAAGATCTTCTCTACCATGTTCCCTGTTTTGGAATATCTGGAAGAATTTTCTGCAAATTACACTGGAGCTAGAGTTTTCCCTAACTGGCATCAATCTTGTATCTGGAAGCAAGGAACTGTATTACTTTGAAATTAGGAAAGCTGATCACTCAAAGATGTTTTTTCTCAACTCCATCTTAAAAGCAGTTACAGTTTTAGCCCTTACTAAGTTCAATTTGAAGCTGTTCCAGAATCTCACCTCTCAAATGTGCTATCCTTACTAAATGTGCTCGTGATCTGGTAGAGCAGTGCCAGGGGACAGATATCACTCTCTCTACCCTGCTTTGTGAAATGCAAAGAGAATTTCAGCTGGAACATGGGAAGAGCAGAAAGCAGGCACATGCCACTGCTGGGCTGTCTGCTTTTGTCCCTTGGGCATGCTGGGAATTGATCCTTTCCAGAGAAATAAATCCAAAGTGCAGAGGGGAAATTTGTAGTCTCTTAAGCAATGAACCATGCCAACTCAACACATCCAGACAGGGTGATGGCTCTGACTGTGCAAGCATGACCCTGTGCCTTGTGGGCTAGCACGACTCAGTAGACAAGCGCATAGGGATAAAAATGAACATGGATAACGTGCACGCAGGTGTGCATTGGAGAAGGGGGAGAGATGAAGAGCTGCCTTGCATACAGATATGATGATGTAAAAGTTTTTTAAGGTGTTTTTTTACTGTCCATCAGCCATGAGCACTGAAATATGCTGAAGTGATACAAACTGCACTCTGACACACCTTGGCCTCATCACGTGGGAGCACACAAGCCTCAGGTTTTATGGGCAGGCAGGTTGTTTCTCTGCTCCATTCTCCCTTAGCTGAGCTGCTCTGGCTCCCTAGACCAGGATGCTCTGCTTTACAACCATAGATGTGAAGGGACCTGCATCAGAGCTGGTTGTCCTGACAGTCATGTTCAGAGTCTTCCTAATGGGAAGACAGTGGTCTTTACCTGCTTATCTCTACATGGAGAGGTGTAATCCAAGCAAGTGGTGGCTGGATAGAAGCACAACTCAGAGCTGGTGTCCCTATGGTCATGTCAATTGGACACAGGGATGGTACAGAATGATCTAATTGAAATCATACTGGAGATGGTAACACAGCACCTGTCCGTACAGATAAGTGCAGTTGCTCCCAGAAGATTTAACTAGAACCCAGGGTATATATTTTAGTTTAGCTCAAGCTTGGCCATAATTTGAAGTGTAAGCATAATCTAATGTGTATTTGTCCACAGACTGGCCATTTTCTGAGACTATCATATACAGAATTGCACTGACATAGTCTTATGTTTGTTAACTATGAAAGCAGCTGTCTTGGAATGAACTACTAAACAAAGAAAAGATCTTTGCTGAAACAAACAGCTCATAAGGTGGTTAATTTTCTTCACATTCATTTTACACCAATTCAGCCTCTTCTCCCAGGTTATAACCTAAAGGGCTTTACACACCTCATAATCAATATCCAAGTGATCTGAATCTCCCTTCGTTCGGAAATGCTGGGTGTGCTTGTCCACTGTGAAGTTTACTTGCTTGTTGAAGCGCTCTATGAGAACCGAGTGCCAGTGCTGGTCATCCAGGAGGCTGCCCAGGGTGACAGATGTGTGACTGTTACTGAAGTGCAGGTTGGAGTCCCCTGAAGGGGTAGAGACAGGGAGAAGACACCAGAGTTACTGCCAAGCCCTTAACTGAAGCATGGTGACTCAAGGGGAGTACAAAGATGCAAACTGAAGCTCTACCCATCAGAAACACACCCTTGTCAAAACTTGCTTTAGATTCTATGGGCCTCTTATTCATATGCATATGTATATGCACATGAACACATACACATTTTTTTTCCCCTGAAATACTTGTGATGAACCAAGAGGTTTTCCTGATGCTGCTCCCCACATTGCAGTATGTAGGGGATGGCTGCTCTGCCTGTGCCCTTGATTCTATTATTCATTTGAGGACTAATTTGTGTTTCAACAGCAACCTTCAGCCTGCACATATATCTCCTGTTTGTTCACTCACATTAATGGACCACTCCCAACACTTCTGTTTCAACTATGTAATTTCTGTATTTTCACAAGAAAAATGCACCAGTCCATTTTCAAAGAAAAAAAGCCAAAAGTCAGTGAAGCAACATGAATACAAGTGTTTTGTTCAGCTCAAATAGATTTTTAAACTTGGCCTAAATCTCCAGGAATTATATCAAGAGTCATAAAAATATTTAGGCTCTAACCCTGGTAATTTCAAGTACTCTTCTTTTTTCCAGCTAGCTACATGTCTGAACACTTCTAAGCCTCTCCTTGAAAGGGAGTATGTGTTCTTTTTCATATTCCAGCAGAATGGAGATAACACATGCTCCAAAACTGTCTGTCAAGTTGTGCATTCACAACAGCATCTCTTTGGAAGAGGTAACACAACGTATTTAACTATACTGTACACTTATCCTAGTATGAAACATTTGTAAGAGGAAGGCAAATCAATGGAGACATTAAGAGACTCGGGATGTAGCTACTTGATTCAAGTAACATCTGAATACCAAATCATAAAAATGCTGCATTATCATTTCTATGCTTGAACGAACTAAATGAACAAAGAAAGAAAATACTAGTTGGAGACTAAACAATCAATGAGCTTATGTAAAAATGAAATCCAAGAGCTTGGAAAATTGTTACTGATATTTAAAACAAACATAATTAGGCATAAGGGGAAAAATGCTGAAAAAATATCTATTAATTCTGTTTTAGTACATCTAGTTTGCTCCCACTAGTTTATGATTTTGGGAATTAAAAGAAGTCATAAACAGTGGACTGAGATACTGCACCGTTGCCTGCTTTTTTCTGCTCTGGCCAAACTTCTTAAAGTGTCCTGGAATTGCTAGTCCGAGATCTGTCCCTGCTAATACAGTACATTTCTAGATGCTACATCTCTCACTTTTACTAAAAACAGCTTTGGCAGTCTAAGCACCATGTCCTTCATGACATCAGCAAAGTCTATTTTCTTTTGCTTCCCCTACCACCTTCTCTGATAAGTTTTTAAGCTGTGAGCTGCCTGAGGCACACAGCATGTTTTGTTGATCTCAGGTGGAGTTTCTAGATACTGCCTAATATCAATAACGAATTTATAAAAGCAACCAAGCTAATCCTTGTTACGGCAAATGTGAACCAATAATCCTAATGACCCTTACCCAGGTTGATGTGCAAGGAGAGCTTCCCTTTCTGAAGTTCCAAGGTAATGTAGTCTCCACGCTGTCCTTCTCCATGGAATAAGACACCATCCCCCTGCATGCTCTTGAACTTCAAAGAGACCACATCTTTGAATGTGCTCATAAGCTTCTGATTGAACCTGTAGAGGAGTGAACTTCTGCCATCGAAGTCGGCAATATCTGACTCTGGGAGAAAGAAGATGGCAAAATGAAAAGTTGTACACCGGGAGAGGGACTGTGTTTTTTCAGGATCTTTTCAAATATCACTTGCAGTCAGGCTTTCTCAGAAGCATACTTCCACAGGACGTATTTGCCAGCTTAGTCAATATGTGGATGTATGTGGCATCTGGGCAACCATATTTCACCCTTTCTATGTGAGGAATGGGAACACTAGGATAAAACCAGAACTTCTCTGCACTTGTCTTCCTCTCTCTCATGCACGACTGCTTTCTCACTCAACTTTTTAGGACAGAACAGGTGCCTTCCACCATATTCAGATCTCAGAACATTCCTCATAACATTTACTGTTTGCCTCAAACACACCCAGTATGTTATTCATTATTTTGAACACTTCAGTTCTCACCCCAGTTTTGTAGCTTCACAAGCATTTGTTGAGCTGTTTCTGTGTGCCTGCCATGCCTGCATCCACCTTTGCATCTAAACAAGCATCATCTTGGCCTCTGAGGGTTGGCTGCTTATTTGAGATGGGAATATATCAAGCATTTTTCCGCATGCATATTGACTAAGCTGGCAGAAATAGCCAAATATCAATTCTAAAAGCTTTTGATGGGATTTCACGGGAACTGGGCATCTAAACTGATAATATACCTGTGAAAATCCTATTAGAAACATATTTTCCTCTTTAGCCAGCCTCTAAAACCTAATCACTGTGATAGAAAACAGGCTTTTAATTCTTCAGTTGCAATTAATATTTCCTTTGGCAGCAGCAGCTTGCAGTACTCCTTGCTTTACAAAATAGTATTTTAAGAAAAAAAAAAAAAAAAACACAAAACTTTTTTTTAATATTTATATACACATATATAACCATAACTTTTGAACTAATATATTGTATTCAAACATGTGACTGACATAAGTAAATTCAATTCCAATTTTATCCAAAAGCAATTTAGCACTTGTAAATAACAAGCCTGTCAATTGGTATTTCCTATTGTGATGAAAAATATTAAAATTCAAGAACACCACATGATGAAGAGTCTAAACAAGGGTTTATTAAGCTACGTAACTACTTTGATCATGTCTAAAGACAAAAAAATTTTCATAGTAATCAAGAAGAAAGAGCACAGATTACCTTTGTTTGCAAACCACATTTTAATGATAATCTACAGCTATCAGCTTTCCATTTTCTTTTATAAACTGAAATGTCCGTATGCAAAACAATCAAGATTTCCAGGCCAGCAACTACACTGTGATTAAAGTTGGTGATTTAAGTCACCTAAGCTCCCTTAAGAGTTCTTCTATCCTTTCAAGCACTGATGGTAGTTTCATTTGCTCCTCTCTAAAACCAGAAATAATAGGGATTGTCTTTTTTCCTCTATTTTTTCTTTTTTTTTTTTAAATTTAAACTGGACCAAGATTTAAAGAGGTTTGCAATTAAAACTATTGTAAGTTCAAAAGAAAAAGACCTGCTAATGATTTATTACCATGCAAACTAACATAAATAACTTCTGGTTGTCAGTATGACAGTTTGTACAGAAGTTTGACAGCAGACTTATAAACTTGTAGGGAGCTCACTATTTAAATCTGAAATTAAATTCTATCACTCCAAAACTGATTGCATTCCAAATCAGAAGGTAACTAATTATTTCTTGTAAGAATAAAACTATAAAGAAATTCAACCCTGGGAAAAATTCACTCCAGAATAAACTAAGACCGACTTCTTATCTGTCATATCAGAACTATAACATGATGTTTAGCATCATATGTGGACCATTTGCTATCTTAGGAAGCATTATGAATATGAAAGTATTCAGTTCACCTGCTTTTACTGTGCTTTTCTTTTTTTTTTTACTTCTGAATTAGGCATTCAGAAACAGCTCCTTCAGAATTGCCGATTTCTCTCTATTGACACCTTGACTGCCAGTTTCTATAAAGGGAATTAAATTCATAGTTTCATTCTTATGAACTTCTTCTAGCTACATTAAACACTTCAATTTGTTTAAAGTAAATTGCAAGTGTTATCATAGTTTCATTTTAACACAGGCAAGAATTAGGAAACAGCTTATAAAGAAGTTAGTATTTGATTTCCAGTATATTTTCCAGTTAAAGTTGATTTTCCTCTTAGTTCTCAAAAACAAAGATAATGTAAGAGAGCAGTGATTCAATGTTGCCATAATAGCAGCCCTTTCTTCTTTTCCTTCTTGAAATCCAAGCATTCAACCAGTCTAAATTCACACTTCAGTCTTTGTTCTCCACTAAGTCACAGCATAACACACAATTCTTGAAGAGTTCTACCACTGACATTTACAGAGAATAACACAGAGGAAAACCTGGTTTTGAAAGGTTCTGCTCCACTAATTATCAGTTGAGAGTACACTGGCCAATAAACAGCACTGAAAGAAACGGGAATATGTCAAGTAAATGCTAACACTGGCAGCCAAAAATCATTACTGTCAGTTTGCATAACAACAAATCATTGTCTTCCTGTTAGAAATTCAAAGATACAGCACAATTCTAACATAGTCACTCCAGAAAACTGGCTTATTTATTTAGTCCATTCATGTCCATAATCCACTTGCAGCGAGAGCACAAGAATCAGAAGTGTTGTAAGTTTTGGCAACCCTGTAGGAATAAAAAACTAAAATACAACATGTGGTTTCATTCTGCACTGCCCTCTGATTTACTTACACTCCTTGAAGATAGACTTCATTCATTCTGGGTGTTTTTCTATACTGTCCTTAACAACAAGTCTACAAAACTCATCAAAAGTGATATTAGGCAAAACACAGTTCTTTCATGCTATTCTCCCCTGACCAGCAAGTCAAACAGATGTCGCTGCTGTACATACGTACGTAACCATTTAGGCTGGAAAAGACTTTATTAAGATCCTTGAGTCCAACCATTAACCTAGAACCACAAGTCCACCACCAACCCCCATCTACAACCTCCAGAACTTCCCTGAGCAGCCTGTTTCAATGCTTGACAACTCTTTGCTTGGTACTTGAGATAAGAGACCAACCCCCACCTCACCCCACCAACTACTTTCAGGTAGTTGTAGAAAGCGAAAAGGTCTTCCTTGAGCCTCCTTTTCCCCAGATTAAATAGCCCCAGTTTTCTCAGCTGCTCTTCCTAAGACTTGTGCTCTAGACCCTTCACCAGCTTCATTGCCTTTCTCCAGCACCTCAGGGTCTTTCCTGTAGGGAGGCGACCACAGTGACTGAGGCATGACCTCACCAGTGCCAAGTACATGGGGCAGGAGTACATACACTTGCGAACAGGTAAAGGAGTTCTCAGAAATAATTCATCAAGCTTTTCTGAAATTCAGTAGAGGTTCTGGCCCCAGGGGTGCTGGTTATGTCATTCCATTTGAATTTCCTTTCCTAGCACAGACAAAATCTTCAAAGTAATCTGGGGGTGAGTAGAAACAGAGGCAGTTAGTTGAAGGTGAACTACCAGGTAAATTCATAATTTCTATTGAAAAAAAATAAAATAAAAAGGGAGCAAGTAACCACACAGCTGAACCTGTGGGACCAGCTATACTGAGAGAAGCCAGGCTGAGAGCAATGTGAAAGCATGCAGTTTACTTGTTCAGCAATCTACTCCTGGCAGCAGAAACAATATGCATTTATATTTACAAAGACAATCCTCCTAGTGATTTTAGAAACAGTAAGCATATACTTGGCAAAGCTATCCTAAAATACAAAAATATCCTCTATGAACAGTTGTAATTTGAGACAGAACTTTTGGTCTTGCACTTGCATCAACAAATAGAAGCTTTAATTCCCTACAGGAGGAAGGAAGATTGTTCCTGGTCTAAACAATCTTTCCTGGCTAGTCACGCCTTACTAGATTGACTGAGTCTAAAGCAATTTGACTTTCTTCTCCATACCCTTCTCAGATATGCAATCCAAGGGATGACTGGATGAGCACCTCGGACATGACAGTTCTGCTACGCAGCTTTATCTGTATCAGATTTATGTCTCTTGATAAGCAAGCGTTTGGGTATTTACTATAGAGAGTTGGTTAAAAATACTACTGGTCAACGACCATCAGATGGCAAGTGGTTCTGTGCAACGTGTACTTATCTATTTCATAGGAAGATGAAGGAGAGGATGAAGGAAGGTGGGGAGAAAGAAAAGAAAGGGGAAAAAAAAAGGAGAAATAAAGGTCTAGTAAAAATATCACTAAATGAAAAAGCACCGCATCAGATCATATTCCCTGAAGCAATGACCACAAAAGATGAAAAATCAGTGTCCTGAACTGCGAGTGAAGAACTCGAATCTCAAAAGAAGATAGCCTGTCTCATGCTCTATCATTGTGTCTCCTATGGTTTTCCAGCCTGATAACTGCACATACATCAGAGTCTGCTGATGCATTTTGTCTGTTAACCAGTTATAGAATATGATCAGCATCTTCGATGTGGCTATAAATCTTAACCTATAAAAGCAGTTGTGTCAGCAGGTTTTCTTCCCTGCACTAAGCTAACAAGATCTTTCCCCAAACAGAAAGATATTCCAATTTCCCCCTCACCACCTCCAGCATCAAAAGCAATTGGTTTGGCATTTGTCTGAAAACATCCTCTATTGCAGTTCTGGTTAATCTGCTATAATCACACTGTTTCTGGAGCCACTGCTGTAAAGGGGCAGTGAGAGCTTACACATACCTCTACATGGAAATTTCCATTTAACTCGTCCTAAATCCTTTTCTGAATAGGAAATATTAATGTATGTTTTCAAATCCAGACAATATCCTTCCTAGTTCAGTACCTATTTTCTTAGATGGAGTCTTTACAGGAATTTCAAATAAATGTAATAAATTTTCATTTAAATACATACTTTATGTTTCAGAAAGTAAAAAAAAAAAAAAAAATGCAACAACAAAACACCCAACAAAAAACATGTGTGTTTGATAGCTGTGAATTTCAGCTGAACCGACAGCCTTGGAGTGCCCTGTCACACAGGAACTTCAATCTGTATGGGATACAAAATCATTTGATCTGTATGGGATAGCGTCAAACACACTCACGTGTCTGAAACAGCTTTACTGCTAAAAACATGGTTTTATGCTCCAAAGAAACAATGTTAATTGGCAGACAAATCAAAGGTAAAAAAAAGAAAAAGAGGGCTAAGGGGGGGTGGAGGGAGGGGGAGGAGAAGAGAAGAGGTCAGCTTCACAAGCAAGGCTTGACAGAGAAGTTTTGAAGTGCTGGGGACAAATTCGGAGTAGTAAATTCCCTCTAGGTAGAGCAAGGTAATTAGTGCCATTCAACACCACAGTGCAAACTCATTAAATTAGCCACTTTGGCATCCACTGCATATAGGAGATAATCTTTAATGCGATATTTCAGTATTTTTTGTCACTGCGTCCTGGCAGAGGGTTTGCTGCCCTACAACACCTGATGTCTTCCACATGTCCCCTACTAAAAAGTCATTATTGCAAGCTGCATTTGCCAGAAGCCAGTGCAAGGTTGATGTTTCTGGGACCTCTCCAGAAGAGCATGCTGCACAGGACAGTTATGCTCTAAAAATGACAGAACAGAGCCTTTCACTGGCACAAGAGTGTCACATTCACGTAACTTTGCAATCAAAAAATGCTTAAGCAGTAGCGAAACCACAAACCTCTCCTCCAGCTGTCATCTTCTGCTCTAGTATGCAGGGTTAGAAAGGAGCTGAGGTGAGCAGAGACCATCCAAAGAACCACAGGCTATTCCGCACACCTTGATGTATCACAGCAAGGTACTGATGGGTTTTAACACATATGCAGCAGCACATGAAATTCAGATGGCCTAAGCTGCCAGTATCCCCAGACTTTTGTTTCAGTCAAACAATGACTCCTGCTACTCACACAAAAAAGATCTCAAGCTTGCTTGTAAATGAAAACTTTACTTCTACAGTTTTCTGCCTTGGGAAGCAATATAAATCAACTCTCTTTTCAGATCAGGTTTTCTGCTTCTGAGGCAACATTTGTCTAAAAGGTGGAATGGACAGCCAGCTGTTCAGCATCATCTGAATTTCAACCTAGAATAGGCTAACAGGTAGAAATGACCCAGCAGTCACACGTGTACGTTTGTGCAGGATTTGGTTCATACGTGTTCGCCATGCACATGTTCTCTCATACCTCAGGACTGGATTCAAAGCTAAAATGCTGATAGAAATCCTTTCTTCTGATTCAGTCAACTTAACACCAAATACTCTGGGTTTGTTTACATATAGAAGCCTTTAAGTCTTTCCAATGTCTTAAAGAAAATTGTGAATAATGGGGAATAAGGCTCTTACAGTTGAATTTATATCAGCTGAATGCTTTGGTACAGGTAGGTGACTTCCTACTCCCAGACTCACATTGCTTCTTTCTTACACACAAAGACCCCTACATAAAGTGTTATCTCTTAGAGATTGTGCACATTTGGGACATATGTTTTCTTCTAGCACTCTTTCCTTCCTGGCTTGTCCAACAGCCTAGCTCTAGTGACATTTTTCCTCATTTTATTTGAAACTCTTTTCATATTATTAATATAGTTCTTGTGGCAGAAGTGGAAGTGGTGGATGAGCCTGTATGCTGTTTGACATCACATCAAAATACAGTTATGTAGCTGTACACCAGCTCAGGATCTGCTGCAGATATTCTGTCAGTATAACAGTAAAGATGACATTTTATAAATGATCAAACATCTTTTGTACGGTGCCGGAGTGCCTGACTTAGAAGTAGCCAAGACTGTGAAACTATAAAAGCGAAACTTGTAGACAGGTATTGCTTGGCATATGCAATTTGCCAGAGAGAAATTTGAATGGCACATTTATCTAAAAGGAATAAATATTTCAACACTCTGTAAAACTTTTATGAATCTCTTTATTTCTTTTCTGGCTTGCTTCAATCTCATGCCTTAATTCTGCACAACCGTTTTTATTTCCTGTAATTGCAGAGGCACAGGAAAAAGATGAAGACTTAAATGATATCAGTGCAAGGTTACAGCCTGCAAGTGACTATGAAATCTTCTTCGTGTCATAGTACATATAACCACAATCTGACATGAAAGTAGTGCCCATGTAGTATTTCACATGGACTAGAACCAAAACACTTTCAGTTACAAAAGTTTCAACCTTCAGTTTGAGTTCCATTTGTTCCACTTCTGTTTGTACTGTACTAGTTAGTCACTGCAGAGGTTTGTTTATCATTAATACAAGAAAACTCTTTGAAAACGGATGAGGCAGCCACTTTGGAATAATGTCAACAAGGGCAGCTGGTTTTGATTTATAGGTTTCAGTTTCCATGTCCACTGGTAGGCCAGGAAAAGGTTTCTTTCCTTAGTGACTATCCATGCACACTAAGCTGTTGCAGGTTTATACTTTAATGAACAATAGTCCATAGTGCCCAAGCACCGAAGTAGGTGGAGAAGCAGCACTTAAAAAAGCTGAGTAGATCATTCAGATGTACATACAGACCATAGCAAGGATCTTCCTGTGAAACCATGTGAATCAATCCTAAGACCCAAGTGCAGTGATGAGGCTACTAAGAGTCCTGGAGCTATACCTCTGTTCAATGGGATCATGTGAATCAAAAGTTTTAAGACACTTTGCTCTTTCATTCTGCTCAGATGAATTTAGGAAGTCTTCCAAAGAGGAGTTCTTACAGTTATTATCTTATGACCCCTTTTCTGCACCCAGCAGGAGCAGATGAGTATCTAAGCTAAATGGGGAGATGTACAAGTACAGCAGCGTCACGTTATGGTGACTTGTGACACACCACATTGAACTTTGAGCAAAATGCTGTTATTCCCCTGAACTGTCCCCAGCAAAATCTCACCTGTCTCCACCACTGTCTTAAGACAATTTTTACCATTTTGGAAATAAACCCACAGCTACCTGAGAAACAAATACTGGCCACTTGTTTCCTCATTTGTGGACTTGTTTTTGCTTTGTTCTAGGGAGGTCTTTTTTCTTTACATTCACATTTTTTCTGTAGTGATAGGTCTTACATCTGCAGCAGTACACCTAGATAAATATGTGGCTGAAATGCCCCGAGACAACAACATTTATAAGCTGCTCTAAAGCTCATGTGACAAAGGCTGCAGATCATGTCTTAGAGGATCATCACCACATGCTACGAATAAGAGTGCCAAAGGAGATACTCATGCAAAAGCAGTTAAAGCAGCAGATGAGTTCTCTGCTCTCTGGATCTAAAAAGTCACGAGCAGCACTTCCCCCAACAACTAGTTAACTTGCCTTAAAACTAAAAATGAACTCTTTAAGGAAAAGGTAGCACCATTCCTAAATAAAGCCCTGCAGAAGATCTGAAGTAGCTTTGTGCCCTCCAGCAGGGTGGGAGGTTTGTAGTATCTGACTTCCTTGCACCTTGCAAGAAGCAGCAAATAGCTCTGTGGTGGGTTCAGCTCTGAGGAAGCTTCATCAAGTGAGCTAGATGGCTGAGCACATCCCTGAGCAGAAAGGCAAGAATAACTACTGAAAAAATAAATGATGGCTATGCATTTTGCATTACATTCTCACTTGTAAAACTTGTGCTGGACACCCCCTACAGCACTGACAGCATCAAGAGAAAGCTCTGAGAAAATGTGGGTTAAGATGTAGTTACTTACTATAGGAGCAACCAAAGACCTCCACTCTTAGTCCTATCCGACCACCAGCGTTCCACTTAAGAGGGATGAAGCGCAAGAAGCGGGCTTTCATGGAGTGCAGCAATTTGTGGTGAACCACACTGTCAGCGTTGCTGTTCCCTGTGAAAACCTGAAAGGAAAGGGAGCCTTAGTGAGACATTTAGCACTAAGAAGTGCACACTGAATGAGTCCAATAAACTACTAAAAATTATATAAATTGATTTTCAAGTTCTATTTTAAATGCTGTGTCACTTATGAAGGGAAAGGAGGGAAAAGACAACACAAAGAGCACCTCACAGGAGTGAGGAGTATAAAGGGAGTTACAAAAGCAGGTTGTAGATGGGAATGTTAAAGATGCTACACAATTTCTCCAAACCCAAGAAATTCCTGTGCACCACAATACTCCACTGGCTCTTAACGTACCCACAGTCCCTTCACTGCAGTGAACAACAGTGTATCCAGGGTATAGAAAAAGATGGTCTCAAGGCACTGAGGTTGGCCAGACCCTGTGAAGATGAACAGGAAAGCATACACCTAGATATGTCACAGAAAACTCCAGCAAGAGAGGAAGAGATGAAAGTCTGAGTCAGCACACAAGAGAGTCAACATTTTGACTGTGTTTGCACTCAGGAGATTTAAAGCTTGCAAACAATAATAATTTAACTTTTTTCTTGCTTATTTGATTAATTGTCTGCAACTTGCAAGCCAAAATTAATGGCCCTACTCAGAATCATCACTTAACAAGAGGAAACTCTTATGGATGAAGAATGACAGGAGGATTTCAAAGACAAACCTTAAGGCAATCATCCAAGCTCTGATCCTGCCTGAAGCTTTTTCAATTTATCTTTACACCTTTACCCTGTAATATCAGTCTAGAAATCCCATAGGCCTGCAATCTTCAGAACATTTGAGTAACTCAGCTAGGATTTAAATTTGAAGCTAACAGTTTTGCAAAACATGAAAACCAAGACAGAACTCACAAAAAATAGTTTCACAGAATGGCCGCATTTTTAAAAGCAGTCCTTCACTTTGTAAGTGTAAAATTTTATCACAATAACTTGAACCAGTTTTAAATGCTTCTGCAAGTTAAAAGCTGGCATCATTCACCTGTGCAATATAATTGCAAGCGCAGATTAGAATAACCCCAGTAAGGTAGACCTGCAGTTCATTCCTGATGGCCAAAGGATGAGTTAGAGAGATTTGGGGTTTCATCTCCACTCTGAAGAAAAAAGGACTAATTAGCCACTGTTTAAATTTTTACTCAAATTCAAGCATTCCATCTTTTTCTACATGTTGTTTAAAATGGTGTAAAACTTCAAAATTACTAAATTTGCTTTACTAAACCCAGCACGTTACTGTTTTATTGGAACTATATTCAATGAAAAATATCCTTGAACATTTCTAAGGCACAATACCTTCAAACCATACCATGCTTATTTCCTTTCACCTCAGAAACTCTAACCTGGGAAAATTCTCTTCTACACAGTAGGCCTTACTTTCCACCCAATCATGAATGCAAAAGGCAGCATATATCTTAATTTCTAAAGCATGCTCTGCAAGTGGATTTCACTGCTGGCACTGCTTCCCTCTGAAAATGAGCCTCAGTTACCTCTGTGAATGGAATAATCACCCTTAAAAACATGATCTGTAAAATTATTTTTATTAGGAGCTTATCAGGCTGAAAAGGGTATACAATTTGGCTACCCCACCTGTCCCCAAAGGTTTGCTTATCCTGAATCTGTTATTCAGAACATTGTATGCACAAGATATTGTTTTCTACAAGTATGATGTGATGGCTAACTAACCTCTCTCAAATACAGCTATATGATATAAATAATTTTTTTGGATTAGGATTCTTGTTCATCTTAATGCAAAATCAACCACTTTCAGCAGCTTTTCCCATCACATGGCCTTGAGGAAGGCCATAAGTAGCACTTCAGGATGTCCTGGGCTTACCTATATTGCTTTCCAGATAGCCAAATTCAAATACCAGCAGACTATTTCACAGTTTTTCTTCCTTGCACTTCAAGAAAAAAATCTTGTTCTTCTCAGTAATGAAACTGTCAGCAGAGAGCAAGTCTCACAGTCACAGAGCTGTGGCAGTGCTCACAATTTTATTAAGACACTCAAGAATATGTAAGATTGATAAAGGGAAGTGTTGTTTTCTGTTTCCTTAGAAAGCTCATCTTCTTGGAATCCTGTGATTATGTAAAAATATCACCTTTTGGAAGATAAAAAAGAAAGAAGGAAAACGAAAGAAGAAAAAGAACAGGCAGGGAACAAAGGGTTTTCAGTCTTCCCAACTGTGAAGAAAAGCTTCAAATGCAGTGACTAGAATACAAGCAAAAGGTGAAAATTAAGAGACAAAAAAAGAAAAGTACACCTTAATGCAGCAAGGCTGTGAAACAAAGGTCTGTGTTGTTTTTTTTCTCATAATTCTCTCGCACATAAGACTGTCAATACTGCACAATGCATCACAGGCCCACAAGGTAATAATTTTTGGTTTATATAAAAAGAAAACAATCTCGGAGAAAGACCAAGATGAAAAGCACAGCACCACTAGAAATATCTCTTTGCAATTAGAAAGTAATGGGAATTATGTGATTTGTGAATACAACTGTGTGCTAAACAGCCCACACATTCCTGCTTGGAAAGCAGGTAAGAACACAGCCCGTGCCAGCACACAGTGCCATTCTGGATCAGCGGGTCCTCATGGCTGCTGGAAAACCAGAGGCAGTACACAACTATGTATAACTGTTGTCAATGGCAGCCTTGACACCTCTCTTGCAGGGCAAACCTATACAGCCATATTTTTTGCAAAGCTTGTGCAAACCACGCACCCAAGCACAATGCACAGGAGTGTCACTGCTGCTCATGCACACGGAGGCAATCCTCTGCCTCCAGGCAGATGGTGTGCACAGCACACTTCAGGTACTGCCAGAGCAGTCACAGGAGCTTTGTGGGTTTCCAGGTAAAACAGAGACAGCTGTATCCCACCGTCCGCAAGCAGACCAGAGATGCCCAGATAGCTCCCTTCAAGACACGTCAAGGGAAAGCCAGAAATACTTGCTTCCAGACTTCAAATCAGTTGACAACAAATCTGATATGCAACAATGTAAAAACATCCTTCCCACATTGAAATAGTCATGTCAATAAAAATAAACCCTTCAAAATTCCAATAGATCCCTTACAGCAATGTTTCTCAAGCTTCTCTAATAACCAAAGAGCCAACAAAACGTGCAGGGGAAAAAATCAGCAGGCAATGCTGCACCCATCGACCTGTGCCTATGAGATGGTTTTGCATGCAGCTAGTACATCACTGCTTGCTGCTAACTGCAGGGTGTCACTATGTATGCCTTTAGGACTGCTTTGATTTTCACTTCCAACTCCCACTGCTATACAGATCACCTTCTGATGCTTTATGGACCACCTGTGTGCTGCAGATCATTGACTGGATAACACCAATTGCCACAGATGGTCACTTGAAACTTACATCCACAGCTGACACAGAAATAATCCATCCATTAAAGAAGATGAAACAAGGATGCAATACCAGATTTCATAGCCCTGGAGGTTCAAATATTGATTAACAGTAAACTTATCAATGAGAATGGCAGGAATACTTTCTCTTGAGAAACAGCCTCTATTACAACTTGTCGTTGATAGGGATTACTTCACAGGAGCAAAACGACAACCTCGTGAAGAAAATAAAGTACCCGCATGCTATTTCCCATGCAACCCAGTTGCTCTGGGAGGGAGCATATAACACTGAAATCTGTGGTTTCTTACAAGCATGTAAACGGACTGATGATTAAGCTGAGAAATTCTGTTTCTGGCATTCTGTGGGGCTTATAAATCAAAAAGCTCCACTGGCACCAAATATTGCTGCCAGCTTCTTGAGGGCAAAAGCTTTTCCCTAGTGCTAGCAGCTGCAAGGTTAACAGCTTGCCGTGGGCAGGGCTACCTCTCAGACCAAGTCTGTTTCGCAATGTCTGGCTGCATGGTGCTTCGCTGCGACACAGACCATGGCACCACAGTAATATTTTATGAGGCTTTTTCTATGAGGCAGCAAAGGCAGGTCCCACTGGCATGAAGAGGTGAGGTATGAACAGCTGCAGTGATTCGGAGCAGGGTCTAACCAGCTCTTTGGCAGCAGCTGTGGCACACAGGGAAGAGTAAGAATGAAAGAAGGACACAAAACACTTTTCCCAGTGCTCAACCCATCTGGTTCATGGGTCATATTAAAGTGGAACAAAATAGAATTCTAATTTAGAAGAAGAAGAAAGCTTTCAAAACAAGTTTAAAACTCAGAACCACCATCATTACCTGGAATTTGGATATATGTCTCCCTCAAGAGTCATACAAAAATTCAAATGATTAGGCTGTTTATACAGCTCTCCCATTCAGAGGGATCCCAAAAGCTTTTCAAGGGCAGTTCAGGAAAATGTCACGCAACTGTGGTAAAATATGACAGTTGTTTAGTAACCTTGTAGATACATATTTGTTTCTCTATCTCATGTATTAGTTCAGATGCAGATCACACCTGTGAGATATGATGTGCTGAAATTTAGATGGCCCTTTAGCCAAAGTATTAGACTCCACCTTTAGACCTGCAAGTGGAAATTGGGTGCAAGGAAAAAGAAAAGTGCCTGCTCATGAGAGTCTAATCAATTCAAGAGAGCATCAGATACGGGATTTGATTTCCCTCTCCCCTGCACATACAGTCTGCACAGCAAATGGCAACTTATTTACAGAGCTGCAGAAGTGGTTCCCATAATGACTCTGCTGAATATATCTTGCTCTCCCACTTTGTTAGGCAGGTAATGGGATAGGTTCAAAATGAGTATGCAAGCAGAAACATAGGCACAATCAGCTCTGAACAGTGAGCAGGCAGACCTGAGGTTAACTACCTTCTAGGGGAGATATTTTAAGACATATTGAATACTCTCATTTCTGCCAAAGTCATTCTGATGAACTCAGCTGAGGAAAAAAATCCCCATCAGATTATGAATGTGCAGAGGGCACATAACACAGATGTTAGCAATTTACAACATTTCAACCTTCACTGAAAGAAATACAAGCACAGAAAAGAGCACCTTCAAATCTCACCCAAGACATTGTTTTATGCTG